TGTGGGTTTTTTTTTGTTTTTTTTTTAACGTCCTATTAACAGCTTAGGTCATTTAAGGACGTGCCTCCATGTGTGTAGTGTATTCATGCTTGCGTGTGTGTATGTAGGAGACATGATATGGTGGTGTTCTTGCCTCCCTGGGATAGCGCGGATTTGATGCCGACTTTATAGTACTATCTCACTGAAATACCACGCTGGTAATCATAAGGATTGACCCTTATACGGTAGTATGAATGCGATCGGCAACGAACATATTCAATGGCGCGCGTTGACGTTACGGCTCCATAAAGAGTATTTCTTTAAATCGTCTCTGATACCGACCCGATACTGTCTAATACTACCCAAAACGACCCAGTTATGCACCCAATGATACTTTGATACTGTGATATATCACGTAAACAGAAGTAATTTACTTTCTGTCAGACGTTGTTTCTCGGAATACATGCGGTTTGACACAGAATAATTGATAACAGCACGATACAAACAAATACTACCCAATACTGTTCATAAAAGTATGACTCAATACTATCAAATATATCCCAGTCCTAAAATACGACCTAGAACTATATAATTACATTCAAATATTTATACATTCTCAACAGAAATCTCTATTCTATTCACTTCTTTGAAAATTATAGAGTTTTTTTTTTTTATAATTTTAGACCTATAGATAATGTATCAATATGTGTGTGGAGAAAAAAAAAACGAGAAAGAAAAACCAGAGACGTATATATACTACTTATATATGTCTGTGGAAAAACGATGTTTTTTGGTTTTGTTTTTTGTTTTTTGCAATTAAATATTAAAATTAATCTTCAGTGAAAGCACGGAATTAGATTAGAAGTCCGTGGTGACAGTCACTTTGAAGCACTTAGGAAAATTCCAAAACATTTCAAGGAGAAGATTAAGTACCGAATTAGATTCTGTAAATCCGTGATAAGAGCAACAGAGACGTATATTGTAGTTATACGTCCCGGTACCGGTGTAACTGTTAATATCAATAAGAACAACCCGATTTGAATTTCAACTTTCGGGTAATCAAGGCTTAAATTCTGTAACCCGGACTATTCTAAAATTCGTCTCCTTGTTCAAAGTCTTGAAACGTACATAGAAGATCCCGCCTGCAAAAACGAGCAAATTACCGCAGAATGTAAAAACCACACCTTATCGGTGACTCCGCCCTCCCGTGGTGAACACAAATATGATGTTATTTGGAGTGGCTATTGAATGATTGCAATTGGGATCGCGTGTCCAGGTTGACAATAACCGGTATATTGGGTAATTGACTACAAGTAAATTATTTAAGGATTAACTTGAATATATTTTTCATATTATGGAGATATAACACAAAAAACTCCGTTTTTTGTGTTATAGCTCCATAACATGAAAAATATATTCAAGTTAATCCTTATAATTTAATCTACTTTACACAATCCCTGTGGAAATCCACTGTTATTGATGGACTCTTTTCTCTTAGAAATGATTGCGCTGCCGTGTCAGCCAATCAAAAGCGACGTTACAAACGGCGGCGGCATTTTTTTACGTTATGGGCTGATAACATAAATTTGTAAGCCAATGAAAATGCTTGTTACAAGCAAGATTAAATTATAAATAAATAATTATCTTGCAAATTAAACTTAGACACTTAAAACATCTCCAAGGTAACATACGTCTCGTCTCTGCGTCAAGAACGGATTGCGAAATTTTCATCAGTCAATCATTGGTTTAATCAGAGTAGTATACGTCTCTGGTTTAATCTAATCAGAGACGTATATATACTCAAGTAACATTCTTAACGGTTTGAATATACTTTTATTAACCCCACATTGAATTATTATTAGTAATTTTACATTTCACAGGCAGATACTGGTTCAAAAAGTATGTGCCCTTAGTGTACTAGTTAGATATCGGAATACATTTGTATACTAAATGTTTTGCAAATTGGTCATGGTAATACAAACTTTTAACATGTCAATGAATTAATGAAATTCAACTCGTCTTTCGTCTTTATTATATCCCAGATATTTCTATTTGCCAACACACCAGAGACTATATATACACTTCATACCATATGTCTCCTTGTACACATAAGGAGTACCTGGATTGCTATTAAACAGCCCCAGGACACGGACTACGGATATTGGCTCGAGTCCAAAATGAAGCTGGACTCTAGATAACAGACTTGTGTTATTTCTTAATTAGTGTCACAACCTCAATCAGGTTTTATAAAAGAGAAGAAATATAATATATACATGTATGTCTCTGGTTATAAAAAGCACATATTTCTCTCTGGTTGTAAATTCGAATTTGAACAAATAATGTTCGTAACATTACTGGTTATATATATATATTATTTTTTTAATAGAAAAATATTCATTCAATTAAATTTTTATTACTTTTGGCCTGATGGCCAGTCAGTCAAAAAAATAGAAATTACAAAGTTATAGCATGGCATACATACATGTCATTGTAGTAAATGTAGCGAAAGTGATTCTGTTGAATCACTTGAAACAGTTGTGTTAGGTATTTCTTTTTAATTAATTACTTAAAAGGTAACATTTTCTACTTTAAGTAATTGAATTAGCTTATAGGCAACATGATAAGTCAAATAATATTTCTTCCTACATTTTTTACTAAAGTGTTATCACGGACTAATCTAGTTCCGTGATGCTATATATGTTACATTCATGAATAAAGGATACTAATCTTCAATTTGTCTAACAGTAGAAGTACGATATATTCAAGATCTTATAAATATTGGGTATCTGGGGACTAAACAACTATAGATTTGTACAGTCAATCCACGCGGAGATATGAAACAGGAAAGCATGAAACCAGAGACGTATGTCACCAACAGTATGAAAAGACGTCATCATAAATGCTTAGCAAAATTTAGATGTGGAAATTTGAAACTAAATATAGCAACTGGTCGGTACGCCAAGCCGAAAATTCCCTTATGTGAAAGGGTTTGTAATCTATGTACATAATTATGGTCAATTCTTTTTATTGTATAGAAGATGAAACGCACTTTTTATTTGATTGTGATTATTATGATGATATCAGGAATACATTGTTTGACCAAGCTACGATTTTAAATCCTTTTTTCTTAACATTTAAATCCCAACAGAAACTCATATTTTTAAGGAATGAAGCGGTTTTACAATTTTCTTTACCAGCTGTTCTTTATTAATGTATAGACGATGACAATGTTTGAATAACTATAGAATATAATGATTTGACAATTGTAATTAATATATATGACGTAACCAGCTTTAAATGATAAAAATGAAATGCATAAATGTAGATTTCATAGTGTCTCGTAGTTCAGAATTGGCCGACTATTCTAATATCACCTTGTGTAAAGGCTGTATTTTATGTATGCATTAATATTTTAAAACATGTGACACATTAATTAACTATTTTACTACTAATACGTTACTTCTACTCTTATAAATACATTACCATATCTACCAACTTTAATTACCAGACAATGAGCAATATAAATACTAAGTTAAATAATATGGTAACATTATCATTGACGAGGTTTCTAATATATGTCGTAAGTATAGTCAGGCTTGATAAAAGATCGACTGTTTTACATGTCTTTCAAAACATGTATTCTTCATATGATTAATCAAAGAACTATATATATTTAGTTTAAACACGGACTTAGGTAGCATTTTCTAATTACATGGTTTAAAGTATTCTGCGTCAGATTGCACATTCTCTGAGGAAATACGACAGACAGAAGTAAATAACTTCTTTTAGATGATGTTTCACAGAATCAAACTAGTATTCGTTATAACATTTAGTAGGAACCGGTGCCTTGGGAGGTTTCCGGCCACGTTGTGGAATAGCTTACCATCTGCATTTAGAAAGTCAAATACCGTGGCCAAATTCAGGAAGGACATCAAAAACTCATTTCTTCACGTCTGCATTTTAGGTTCTTTGCACAGACGTCATGTACATACCATCCTTTGTTTATTCATTTATGTGCACATTGACCGAGTTGATATTTTTTTTGCTTAATATGTGTATCCTGGTGATTTTAAGCCTTTTTTGTTTAATAATTATAAATTATACTATCACCGATATGTTGTAAAGTGCTTTAGAGTAATTTTACAAATCACATCTATAGGGCGTTATGTCTATAAATGTTAAATATTATTATTATTATTGGGTCGTAATATTGGATAGCAGACTATTGGGTAGGTCAGGTATTCTGCACCAAGTGGCATATTTTTGTTTACAAAATACGACAAATAGAAAAAAAACTACCTAGCATATTGGTAAATTATTCTGCATAAATCGCATATCATCTGAAGAAGTACGACAGATAGAAAGTAAATTACCTCTTAGGTGATATGTCACAGCGTCGAAGTAGTATTGGGTACAGTATATGGTACGGCAAAACTTCTGTATAAAGGGAATAACTCGAGAGAACATTTACTAAATACGCTGTCGAACTGACTGTTTTCTGCACCAAATCGCATATTTTCCAATACAATATGGCAGATAGAATATAGAAGTAAATAACTTCAACAAAGGTGATATTTCACAGTATTAAAGTAGTATTGGGTACTTAACTGGGTCGTATGAGGTAGAATCGGGTAGTATGGGGTAGTATTGGGTATTTTGAAGATTTTATAAACGTTGTTTTTTATCAACTGTCCAATTAAATGGGATGGTCGAATATATACGTTATCAGGACGTTAATTTGCAAGGGCTTGTTCATTTTTCAAGGCTCACCTGAAAGCAACTTCAAATACTAGGTCCGACCTTATTTAATAAACGAACAAATGTGGTCCGACCGATTCAACCGTTAAACGAAAACGGCCCTTGTGATCACTCCCATGGGCTGCATTTAGGGAAATCCCCATTTAGCGAGATTTCCGATCTCGTCGTTACCCCGTCAGGTAGGCGCTTAGCACTTCGCAGGATAGTGACCCAGCTGACAAACATTCGTCTGACTCAGAAGACTTTTTCCTAAAACAGGAAGCTCCAGAAGTCTATTTGGTGCCAAGACAGGAGGAAGTAGTTATTTGTGGAATGCTTTTTACGTCGAGGTAAAACTTTTTCATGTAAAATGACGAAACTTTAAAGTAAGTTATATAATTTATATGTGAAAGAACCAGCTATACTTGAAAATAAGTCACTAGATTTGTACACAGACTCTTTTCTCCAGCGTGTCATTGGGAGACTCCCTGCACGTGCATTTCGTAAATGGTAACATGTTTACACTTACATTTAGGTCGTTACAATAGCAATTTCATATTCAGTCTAAGTCGATTATGTTAAACAAATGTCTGTATTTCATAACAGTCTAACTGTTGAATGTGTAGGGTCCAACTTTCGGTTACTGAATTAGGATGAAGATGAATCTGATTGAATATATTGTAGTAAATTTTGTGATATTTAACTTTATCAATAATAAGTTTGTCTGAAACTTACATGACTGGAAAAATACATATTTGTGGTAAATGTGCTAAACTTTTCAAAAAACAATTTTTGAATATCCATAAACTATAGAGTTGCAATAGTATAACCTGTAGCTTGTTGGTACACTAGGGTACATTCGCGTATCTGGTTAAAACGATTGAACCTGTAAAGAAAACGACAGGCACAGATCTGGACCAAGGCTGACCTCAGGAAAATTTGGCACGTGTAGATTGAGGGGTCCAGACGTACCTGACTGAAACTAAAATGCTGACTATTGCTAGTTTGGGGTATTTATTTCTAAAACAATGTCAAGCCATATGTAGTTTTTAAGATACGTTATGTAATTCAGTTGAAACATAAAAGAAGGGCGTAATATTCTTGATACATTGTTTTTTATTCTCCGAAACTGTGCATTTTTGGCTCTGCTTATAGAACGGTCCAAGTGCGATCGTTTATCGTGGAACATTTCTGCGCCATGCGTACCGTTTCAACCAGGATACGCGAATGTAGCCCCAGTGTATGAAAGGTTATGCGAGTGTGCACCTCTGATCCAGCTTCTGACCCACCCTTTACCTGGAATATATCATAACAAATTTGAAGGCATGAAGATAGATATTTGATTGGTCTCAGGTGATTTTTTTTATGTACTTCAAAGGATCAAACTATTCTTCTTGTCTCATCTACAAGGTGGTGCCGCTGGGCCCTCAATTTTGTCATGACATACTCCAGGGGTGAACTTCTGCAGGCCCATAGGGCCTCTTGTTCTTTGCAAAACATATCTCTCTCACACTGTTAAAGGGTTAGTTTGTCATATTGCTCAATCACTGATGTGTAAGAAGTTAACGTTATTGTTCACAAATATCAAGAGATGATTGTAGGATTGTTTTAAAGTCAGTAAATGGAAAAATCTTTCCCCATCATAAAGGAAAATTTCTAAATACAAAGTCCTGACCTAAAATGATTGGTCAAAGACTTGGCAGAAATCTTTATGTCTCTGACTTCTTTTGATATTAGAATTTCATTTACGTGTATTTATTGAAATGCTAGTCACTTCCTAATGACTTGTCTAGGGAAAGTTTCTCTTTAGCTCATTCAGTCTAGCATAAGACTAGTAAACCAGATCTAGAGGTCCCCAGTTCAACCCGTAGCGGAGACATTGTAAATAACAACCTCTGTTACATATGAATGCTTCACGACAGTCTATATTAATCATTAATTTTATGGTACATGTATATAAATAAAAACTAATTATATAAACATTCCTTATTAACCAAATCTCACAGCATTTATACAAATAAATTTGTTAGATAATTAGAGTTCTAGCTTTCCCGAACCTAAAACATTGATCTCTGAGAGACACACACATGCAGGTATATCACCATCATAAGTAGCACACAGGTATGTAATAAATATATACAGTTGTCCACTTGTCCACTTGATTGATAACTGACTTGACCTAAATGTTAGATGTCCATCTGACACTTTCTATTAGTTGTAGAAGCCAGTATACAAGTTGTACATATTAGTACGGTATCAAAACTTACTTTTCATTTTTGGCCCGGCCTTCAGTCTTAATTACTTTTGATAAGAAAAAAATATGTTTTTCACGTTGATTAACCAGTAATATGCATGGAAGTGACTGTTGAATGCAGTGTTTTAAGTTCCAACACTTTAAAGTCAGCAAATTCCTACATGCATATGTAAGTCCAGACAAATACAGATGCTCTGGGATTTGGAGTTGGGGTGCAGATGATTGAGTCTGTGCAAGTCAAGGAGGTGAAGCCCCCATGAAAGTGACTCATTTTAACTATATATACAGAGCTAAACCATTTCATAATAAATATCTGCTTAAAAAAAGTCATTTGGCAGCTATGCCACCTTCCCTCAAAATCCACACAAAGTACCCTGAATTATAGTAAAATATTTTTATAAATAGATAAAGAGGATCTTAAATTCCTTCCTTTCAGTCAGCATAACAATTTTATGTAAAAAGCATTTGTAAGGTTCATAATAATCAAATCTTAATTGTGTTAATCATTTTATCATACGATTTGCCTGATTTTGTAAAATAACACAGTTTTTCTAATAATAGTAGATTATAAAATAAATAAATATGATAAAATAGTAGATTTAGAAAACAAACCAATTTTCTGCTCTGGTCATCAATTAATACAAGTTGTCAGCATAGTTTGTTATTTGTGATTTGCAGGTAAGAATTGGTAAATTATCCACTGTAGACCATGATGGATCCTTCGAGATCAATGCACGGGAGAGTCTACTAAAGTTGCATAGGGGTGAAAGGGTTAATATATAATTCAAAAATATTAAACCAATTTAAAATTGTTACCTGCATCAAAACATGTCCCAAAACATATATAGTTATAGACAGATAGTGTAATACTGTATATGAAATATAGGTAAGATTGCAAAATAACTTATTTTATCTTGTCTTAAGAATTCTGCACCACTGCCAAAAATTGTAACTTCACGTTAATATTGGAAGCTGTCATTTCAGGTATGATTAATAATAATGTACAACATAATGTCATTTGATATAGCGCCCTATCTAGTATCTAGCTAACATAAGCCACTCTTAAGCGCTTTACAGTACATAGATATACAACTAATACAATTAGGCTAGCATATATACATTAATCAATACAATTTTGAGAAATTCGCAGGAGCTGCCTTATCAGGCACTAACTACTAGTCCTATGCCATCAGGCTAATACATGTGATCTCCCTATGTGTGTATGCCTGCGTGTGTGCTGGAGATGTAATGAATATAAAAGCTTTGATACATGATTTCTGAAAAGAAAACCATACCTTGTGGGGTATTCTTCATGAGAAATAATATAGATGATACTGAATAAACAAAATACAATCGACAACTGTGTCCTGAGGGTAAAAATTCAGTGGGGCTAGAATGAGATTCGAACCCTGGACTACATATTGATATACATGTATGTACCATCCCTCTCACTGATTGATCTAACTGGTCAACATATAAGTGTCATGGTCCAACTGTGCTACAGTTATATCCTAGCAGAAGTTGAGAGGAGGTTGCTGTATAGATGAGGAAAGGGGAAAGGGAAATACTTTTAAATCACTGAAGATCATGATCAGTCATGAATTCCATGTACTTGTATGCATGGAATTCATGACTGAATCATGATGAACTTGTATGCATATACTAGCATTTTAATTTGACATCACTCTGATAAAGTTTAATAATCACATACATGTGGTGTACATAGAATACAAGATAAAATACTTGAAGCTAGCTTAAATCTAGAAGGAAATATATCAGTTATTTCCCTTTACTTGTATTGCATGAATGTAATGTATCACATTCATTTATTGAATTAAGCAATGAATGTTTTAGCAAATGCTGTTATGGTCCTATAACACACATTTATTGATGACTAACTTAAGAAGTAAGTTTGTCAGCAATAGGAATGCGTGATATAGGACATTAACAATATTTCCTAAAATATTCATTATTTACATTTACATTTTGATAGAGAAGTTATGCTTTAATTTGTTATATCTAACAGTTTTTGAACAGCAAAATTAATTGTTGACAACAATGAAATTGATGACCTCACAATAGAGATTGATGATGTTACAGTGGCAAATGTTGTTATAGTCTCACAACAACATTTGCCTTCTCAATGCATTGTAATGGAAGGATGCAGAGCAAATGTAGATATAATGCAGTGATGTTAATAATAATTATTACAAAAAATGTGGTTTCATATGCTGTATGATTATGTTAGTGAAATATAATACTTAATTGCGTGTTCTTCTTTTGCAGATAAGGTTCCTGCCCACTTCAGAGAGACATATCAGAGGACTAGGGTCTATTGAATTCGCTATCTGGTAAGCTATGTAATGTAATCCAAAAACATTAGATAGCTATTGGTTTTACTGTTTTTTCGCTGACCATTTATGATCTGGTTATGCCAGAGATATCTCATAGTGGAACTGGACTGGGTCAATCTCTGGCCACCAGATAGCTCGAGCGTGCGTCTAAAGTTTGGAGGGTCCCAGGTTCGAACCATGTCCTGGCTGGCATTTTTCCATCTCCTGTTGCATATTCCGTCTTTTCGTATTGCAGAGTTATCTGCTCTTGTGAGCAGGTATTGATTGTTACGTCATTTGTTTGTGAGAGTAACGTCATCAGTTTTTGAGAAAATGACTTATAATTTTTTCACACAAGCCAATTATGACGTAACAATCAATACATACCTACTCACAAGAGAAGATAACTCTGCAATACGCTAAGACGGAATATGTAATGGATAAATCAGGAGTTGGTTGCTTTCACCGGCTATGGCTGATCCAACCCCAAGCAAGTGATTTATCTGAATTAAAAACTTACACACAATATATTATGTACCCTTGGTGAACCCCAGACTGTCGGTTGGATATTATATGAATGTGTCAATGGGATCTTCTATAAATAGAACTAGAGCCCTCACCTGTAAAATACATCACTCATACACCTGTCTAGTCTTGTTCAATCAGACGCTTGATCACTTGTACATGTAATTCAAGAATCTGGTCAAACACCAAACACTGTACTTTAAAATTATCACCACCAGAGGGCAGTGCTTTTACTTTCGTTTTTGGATGTTATGTCAGCGTCGTTTAAACATATCAAAGAATAATGAAATTAATGAAAAAGCTTACCTGTACATGCATTCCTGAAGTATCTGTTTATACACTATTATCGAGAAAAATTGAAGAAAATGTGTGGAATCTCCAGTATATTGCCATATATTTCCACTGAATAAATCTTTAACTGAGCACAAAGCTAACAAGGCTGACTGAGGTTGGGAAAAAGCATGCAAAGCAAATGAGATTTTACCTGTGCACCATTCAAAACACTATAGGTTCTCACTCAGGTAATCTGGCTTGACTTGTATCAATAGCCTTGTCAGCTCCATGAATTATAGTAAAATATCCAATGAAAATACATGAAATCATTCGTAAGATTTGAAGCATTTGCCTACAATTTTCTGGATGACAGTAAAAACACAAATACCTCAGGAATGCTTCTACAGGTAAGTTTTTTTCATAATTAAAATATGCAATTTGCGCCACTCAAATTCTGACTTAAAAAGTTGAGAAGGGTGTGTCTACCTTTGACCAATGAAATCATTTACCAGAATTCTGGTAAGCCTCGTTATGGCTTCACAAAACGATAGCACTGGGTTTGACCATATCCTCTGTTCGGTGTAACTTGCGCAGACAAGAGTCTGGTTGAACAAGACTAACACCTATCTTGGTCCACTTAACGTGCACACACACATAAGCAGCATAGTCAGAGGTATTCCAAATGAGATACCTATTAAAATTTATTTAGAAAACTGGAGGTAACCGGCGTTCCGATTAATTTTGATGACCAGTACATACATACCCAAGTTCAATACAGGTGTTCAAGGTCATCTGTTGGTATGTAGATGCAGGCTTAATGAGACTGAAAGATAAAGATAATTTGTTTATCACTACACCTATAACAGAGACAGCACGATTGAGTTAATGATGCTGTCCTTACAGTGATGTACTTGATAAGGAGAAGAAGGGAAATGGTTTGAATAGCAGCTGGCCGATGTCGGAATCAGTACATCAACTTAAATAGGCACTAATAAATTTAAACTAATTAATATCTATAGCTTATTGTTGCCACCGGACAATAAGAAGTCACACCATATACTCATATATATTATTATATTATATGATATTTTATATGAGAAGTGTGCGACTTCTTATTGTCTGGACCATTTTTATTGACAAAAAACAAATGTCTGTTTGCCTATGCTAACGCGATCACTTCATTTTCTTACATTTGACGTCTTCAAATAAAAAAAATAAGAATTGTTATGTAATGGTTAAGTTGTGCAGTTTTTAGAACAGCAAACCATTCAGAACGTCTTTGCGCTGGCTTGTATGAGTGCCTACCCTTGACGACACATATGTCTAGATACACAATGTTCCTCTGTTATATTTCAAAGGGTTTGTCCTTGGGACCATAATAAATTTTGTTCTTTTTCAGTGAAACGTATTTTCAAAAAAATCCCATAAAGGACATTCATTACAGTGTATTTGATTTGGAGGAAAATAGGTAAAAAATAATGCATCACTGACATAACTTTGAAAAACTTTTAAAACATAATAACAATTTGTATTTCTAAAATTAATTCTTTTCAACCACATTTTATCTTTCACAAGCCAAGAAACAAAATCAAAACTGATTTTCTCTGATTAGGTAACAATAGAGTTATGCCAGTTAGTATATATATTTTTCTTCTAAGTTACACTTTAAAAATATAAATTATAGTAAAAAGCAAAATTACAGTAAAATATCTTTGAAATAAGTCAACCAAATACTTTTTGACTTTTCATTATTGTCAAACATCACATTTAACAATATTGCATCTCAAAATAACTATTAGATATTGTAATGTTGGGACTTGATATGACCCACGGTCACCGGCCGGGTTCGACAGGGCCAAGAAAGTACATGTATGCATGGCTACTTTTAATTTAGTGATTTTGAAATCGAAAGCAGAATGCATAAACACCTGATTGTTTGCCTTTATTTGAGCGATTGCATTGTGACCTAAGTTGTATTTTAAAATTCCTTTCTTTAGCTGTACTTATCTGATACAGTTTTCAAAAATAATTATGTTATATTACAGCACAATGAAACTTACCATCAATGTTAAGAGTATCCATTTGATGTTTTACCATGTCAGATAAAACCATATCAGTTAGTAGTCAAATAAAAGTATAGAACAAATAGTGTGTTGTTAAAAGAAGACATTGAAAATGCATTGTACTATTGTTTATGCATGCTTTTACTTTGGTTATTTTAAAAATATACCCCAAAAAAGTTGCTTTTGTAACGTAAAGAGCGAGATTGGCCCAGTTTGTTTTCTCCATTTCACAACGATGTTTAGGGACACCATTGTGAAGCCTGCCCATTAAGGATAAAATCTATAGAAAAAGAAACACACATTCATGCTGCATATCCTCCAATGCCATGGGCACTTAATTTTATGAAAGCAGAGTGAATTATTTTCCCAACATTTCCGTTGCTTTCCTGTGTAAGTGCCGAAGGTGTACCCTATCTGGATCAGGGTACAGGGGTGGAGCTGTAGAAATGCTAATAAATAAAGATTTAAAATAACCTTTTTTTTTTTGCATTTTGCCTAACTGAAAAAGTTACATTAATACAAAGTCAACTTTGTTCAAACAGTTTTGGTGAGTGTATCGAGGTGATGCTTTGTTTATTTAAACAACAATTATATTTAGATGCCCCAACAGGTTTGTGTAATAGTACAGCAAGTTCTTAATCCTCAATGCAGAGTGAGGCAAGATGTTTTCTGAGGACTTTTAATTTCTATTCATGAAAAATATATACAATTCAAACTGGTAGCAACAATTTTAAAACATGTTGCCCATCAGAATTGTAAATTTTGCAAATTCTACAGGGGACACGGCCGCGCTTGATCCATCAAAATTGTAAATTTTGCAAATTTTACAGGGGACACGCGGCGCTTGATGTGCCCCGCCGAGATCTGCATGATACCAGATGTTTATTTCACTCAATCAAATCACCAATCTGTAGACATTGCTCTTCAATACATGAAATATGCATTTGAAAGATTTACAAATGCTATTTCAAGCCATTTTCATGGTAAGTTCGGTAGAAAGTTTGGACCGTTTGCTTGACAGAATAAAAAAGGACCTAGAGGTTAAATAGAAACCTTTTTTTATTTGTCGGATAGAAAATGTTTAAATACATGCAAAACTAAATGTGTGTACTCGTCATTCGACAAAGGAATCCCTTCATTTGCATCACTTTTATCTCCAGCTAGCTTGTTTACATTGGCGGGAAGGTTTTTGAAAGAGCATTGGTGTGTTTGAAAATCCATGGTTATAAACCAATGAAAAGTGTTGCTACATCAAAGACTTGGTAGAATAGTTTGTGGAATCACCTTTTTAGTTTTCTTTCGTTAAGTTCATGAGTGTTAATGCTAATGACAGTTGGGATCAAATGGGATGATTTGCATGAAATTATATCTTTCCGCAAGCACTGTAGTTTTTTTCAACAAATTTGTAGTTGTAGCATGCTTACTCTTTGGGATAAAAAGTTAAAGTTAAGCATAATGGTGCTGACTGTCTTTGGGGCTGAGAAATCAGATAAAAAGCTAGCAAACTAGCTGATTTGCTGTCAATATTATAATATCTACAACTTATGGTATGGTCGCATATTTCTGCCATCGACTCTCAACTTGCTATTGTTTATTTTTTGAAGGATGTAAACTTAATCCATGAACATTTCGCAATAACGTTTAAATCATGTCAACATATTTGACAGTTTCGGAAATAGTTTTGCAGAAATAATTATCATGTAAGGGGGTCAAATTGCGGTTGTCTGATTTGATAAAATGACATCTTCCAATTGGGCAGATTTCAACTAAATTGTAATAGTAGCCTTCTAAGCCAACAGGGACTAAATGTTTTGCAAATAAAAGAGCTGAGCTTACTGGTGGCAGAGTTAGGGGTTAACTCATTCACCCCTGAAGACACATTTGAACTCTTCCAATTCAGAGGTTGGACTAGTTCATTATAAATTTTCAGAGGTGAATGAGTTAAGGATTCAAATTTATTTGTTTGTTTTAATTGACATCCCTTAAAGAACAGAACAATTTCTGTCAAATTGTGATGAAAATAAGCTTAGCCAATGGAGATAAAAGTGATCCAAATGAAGGGATTGGCACTCTGGGGGAAGCCAATGGAGATAAAAGTGATACAAATAAAGGGATTGGCACTCTGGGGGTTGAGGGACTGGTTAAAATAGGTTGAAT